TTGTCTTAAATGATACAAAACATGGTGGATGTTATACGTATTACTAGCACTAGACAACAAAAATGAAAAGATAATGTGAAAAAGAAATTCACATTTATTTACAAATATAATGATTTATGGGCATTGATAACAAAGAAGCAGCAGTATGATTGCTTTATGGTAGCGTAGTGTAATTGATAGGATTGCTTCACAGTAGCCTAGCCTATATACTAACAAATGAATCGTTATCAAAAATTTTATGGCATACAGTATTGCAGTCATATTTATAATACAGTAATGTAACTTTAAAAAAAAATCATTTACTTGTGATTAAAGGCTGATAGTTTCTCCAATTATGAGAGAGAGGCATACTGTAGTTACATAATTCTTTGAAAGCAAAGTTATAAAACAGTAAGAAAACTAACTTCTGGGACACCTGGGTGGCTCAGTCAGTTAAGCGTCTGCCTTTGGCTCAGGTCATGATCCTGGGGTCCGAGCCCCCCGTCGGGCTCCCTCCTCAGCGGGAAACCTGCTTTTCCCTCTCCTTCTCTCCCTGCTTGTGCGCATGTGCACATGCTCTCTCTCTCTCAAATAAGTAAATAAAAAAAACCCAAAACTAACATCTGATTAATTTTGTATTAAATATTGCTCATATTGCTTAGTATAAGCTAAGCACTTCTGTACACGTCTTGCATAGATGACTACTTAGGAAATGATGATGACATATGAGGCTCTTGCCATGCAGTTATTAGATTTTCACATGAAGACACTCACATATACACAACAGATAAGCTTATTAACTATATGGCTTGATGATTATGTACTATTCGTTAAGTGGAAGTGGATTGTCATAAAGGTCTTCATCCTCGTCTTCATGTTGAGTAGGTGGAGGAAGAGGAGGGGTTGGTCTTGCTGTCTTGGGTGGCAGAAGTGGAACAGGTGGAGGAGTTGGAAGGGGAGGCAGGAAAGGGGCATACGTGGAATAACTTTACTGAAATATGTTGTAATTTCTGACATTTTTGCTTTTTCATTTTTTAAAAAACATTTCTATACAGTACCAGTGTTTGCTTTGGTTTCAGTGCTAGTATCCTAGAAAGGTCCATGTTGTAAAATAAATCAATAGCAGTCTTGAATAGTCAGATCCTTTCTGCCAGGTTGTCTAATACCAGTTTGTTTTTGGTCACTGCTTCTTCTACAGCTTCTTTCTTGTCGTCTGGCACTGGTTTGGAAGCATTCATCTCCATCAAGTTATCTTCTGTGAATTCTTCTGGTGTGGTGTTTATTAGCTCTTAAATTTCTCTTAAGATCCAAATCTTGAAACCCTTCACCCTCTACCTTTTTTGTCATACCCACAAACTCTTCCCTTATTCCCTTGATTGGCTCTGTTGTAAATCCTGTAAAGTCATATACAACATCTGGGCATAGTTTTCTCCAGCAGGAATTTGTTTCATGTTGATGGCTTTCATGGCTTTTTCTACAACGATGGCGTAGTTGTGTAGTGGTGTAATCCTTCCAGACTTTCATGTTTTCTCATCAGAATTCTCTTCCATAGGGTTGACGATCCTTTTCAAAGAATACCATGTAATGAGCTTTAAAGGTCCTTATGACCCCCTAATCTAGAGGCTGATTATAGAGAGCTTGTGTTTGGGGGCAGGTAGGCCACTTCGATGCCCTTGATGTTGAGCAGTTCTGATCATAGACCCGACTGCATTTGCACAAAATGGTAGAGTTAGCCTATCCCTTCTTGCCTTAAATCCTTTTTTCTCTTCCTGACTAATAAATACACTTTGTGGCATTTTTTTCTCCCTCCAGAATAGGGTACTTTTGTCTGTATTAAAAATCTGTTCATGCAGATATCCTTTCTCCTCAGTGATTTTCTTGATGGCATCTGGGAACTCGTCTGCTGCCTCTTGGTCAGCAAGAGCTGCTTTTTCTGTTATCTTGACATTTTTTCAGCCAGTCCTCTTTCTGAAATTATCATACCATCCTTTGCTGGCATGAAATTATCCAGCTTTAGATCTTTCACCTTCCTTTTGCTTTAAGTTGTTACATAATGACTTCACTTTCTTCTCGAATCATATTAGAGTCTATAAATATAGCTGCCTTATAGCAATCCTGCACCCATATAAAAGCTGCATTTTCAATATGAGATAAAAAGGTATTTTGCAAAAGGTGTAAGGTTTTTGCATCTGCTGGCATAGCTGCAGTATTGGCTTCATGAATTTTCTTTTTTTACCGTGGTCCTTATGCTGGATTCATTTATCTTGAAGCAGCAGGCAAGTGCAGCTGCAGGCCTTTATCGACAGTATATATCGAGCAATTCAGCTTTTTCTTGTAATATCATGACTTTTCTTTGATTCTTGGGAGCACTTAAAGCAACACTAGTGACACTTCTTATGGGTCCCGTGACACTACTCAAGGTTTACGGTACTTCACTAAACACAATGAAAAATACACAAGAACTGCAAGAGGTCACTTTGTACTGCAATATGCAGTTTGCTGGAGAGATGAACTGCTCACATAGAGATGGGTAGCATCATACAGTGTTTTAAGCGGATACTAGCAACACTTGGGCTCATGGCAGTAGCAACAGAAGGTGGTTTGAAATTATTACAGTAGCACAGTACATGCTATTCATTTTATGCAGTTATGATTTAATACAAATCTTTCCATTCATTTATATTTCTCTCAACTGCTAATGGCGTCATGTGTGCTCTGTTACGTATTTCTGTGCATGTTTTGATCAATTTTAATTTTTTATACTTAGTGTGTATTTTATGGTAGTAAATGATAAAATAGACTAGTATTTACATATATCTTATGCATTCATGACAACTATTTCTTAGTTTTTTTGCTGTTTCTAGGCTACATGGTTTGTCTGTGAGTTTTTTCGATTTGTCACAAATCTCCAAAAGATTTTCCAGTATATTTATTGAAAAAAATCTGCCTATACATGGATGCGTACTATTCAAATCCATGTTGTTCAAAGTTTAACTGTATTTTATTTATTTATTTATTTATTTTAAAAAATTATTTATTTGAGAGAGAGGGAATTAGAGAGAGAGAGAGAGACCACATGTGAGGGGGTTGGGTCAGAAGGAGAAGCAGAGCAGGGACTTCAGGATCATGACCTGAGCCGAAGGCAGTCACTTAACCAACTGAGTCACCGAGGCACCCCTAACTGTATTTTAAAAGCATCTGTGTTAAAATAAATAAAAACATCTATATTTCCATTTCTTTGCATTGTCTGTTCATGTCTTTTGCCCATTTTTTTTGTTGGGTTATTGATCTTTTTCATATTGCTTTATAGGAACTCATTAGAAATTGTGGAAAGTCGTTCTTTAGTATATATTTAGCAAATACTTTTTCTCAATTTCTTATTTATCTTTGACTTTCTTACATTCTTTATTGTGTCAGAAGTTATTATTATTATTTTTATTTATTTATTTGACAGAGAGAGACACAGCGAGAGAGGGAACACAAGCAAGGGGAGCGGGAGAGGGAGAAGAGGCTTCCCGCCGAGGAGGGAGCCCAGTGCGGGGCTCGATCCCAGGACTCTGGTCGTGACCTGAGCCGAAGGCAGACGCTTAACGACTGAGCCACCCAGGCGCCCCCAGAAGTTATTATTTTCACATAATTTTTTTAACCTTTTCTACCCTCTAACCTGCCTAAGCACCAAAATGGTTGGTACCATGCCTAATAATCCAGATTAAATGATAAAACACCTAGAAAAATACACAGAAGATAAAAGCAGTTATTCTTTTGGATATTTTGTAGAAATTTCTTGGACAGATAAATGATAAAACAGGAAAATCAGCAAATATAATACCAAAGGAGAAGGAGGTTTCTTTCAAAAAAGAAAGGAGGTTTCATAGATTATCTGCTTGAACTAGCATTTCCTAAGAATCTACAGTGTATAAAACTATGTGCTGGATATTGTCTTTTTTTTAATTTAAATTCAATTAATTAACATACACTGTATTATTAGTTTCAGATGTAGAGTTTAGTGTCTCATCAGTCTTATATATACCCAGTGCTCATTACATCATTGTGCCCTCCTTAATGTCCATCACCCAGTTACCCCATCCCTTCACCCCCTTCCCCTCCAGCAACCCTCAGTTTGTTTCCTATGATTAAGAGTCTCTTATTGCTAGAAATTGTCTTAAAGGGAATAAGCTTTAGTGAATTTAGAGGTAAGGAAAGATAATGGTAATAACACATAGAATTAGGGAAGAGATCAAATTTAGGAAAGGTGAGGCCATCTAGGAAGTAGTTCTCAGCTGTTTTGCTCTTAAGCTTCCTGACCAACTTCTCAAGTTCAGTCAGATTTTATAATCTCCATTCTTTGTTGGAAGCAAGTTCCAGGGATTTAGCCTGCTTTCAGCTTTCTTCATTCCCTTCTTATTTATTTTTGGATCTTTGTGATTTAGTGTCTGCCAAGACTGGTTGTGAAATAAGATAGTCTCCCCATCCAATCCCTTTCATTGTCCCCAAAGGTAAAACCCTTAATGATAATGGTTTGTTGCTAATCACTATGTGTGCACCGATAAGGGATTAAAAAAAATAACAAAATGGGAAAGCTGGAAAATACAAGGAGATATTTCTAAGTTTTTACAATAATGGGCTGGAGTTCTGGATTCCCAAGCTGAGATGGTGAAAGGAGGGTCACTTGCTGTTTTTACCTTCGAATTTTATCCTTGCTGGTCCTCTGCCATCAAGATTCCTCTTTTGTCTGAGCTTTTGTTCTCTGAAGGCTATATTGACTCCTTCCTTCATATTGACAAAATAGTCTGTTTTTAATTTCTGTGTAGAGCTAGTCAACCAGAGCAGTAGGTAATCTCTTCTTTCATGAAGGTGTAGCCTATCAACTTACTGGACTGTACTTTCTTCTCTTTTGTTTCAGGGGATAGTTGCCTTTTTTTTTTTTCCCCTCCATGGTTAATCTTCCCATTGGTTGGCTGATACCAAAATTTACTTTTATTCATATTTTTTATGTTTATATTTGGATTGTTTGTTTTTAGGTAAAATTTGGAAATACCACCTTTAAAACAGATGTGTATCTCAAGTCCCTCAACCCTCAGTGGAACTCAGAATGGTTTAAATTTGAGGTAAGCTTTTAATTTTTAATTTTTTAAAACGTATTTATTTGAGAGAGAGAGCACAAGCAGAAGAGGGGCAGAAGGAGAGGGATAAACAGACTCCCCGCTGAGCAGGGACCCCCCCCCCCAACCTGGGGCTCGATCCCAGGGCCCTGGGATTATGATTTGAGCTGAAGGCAAGACACTTAACTGACTGAGCCACCCAGGTGCCCCTTAAGGTAAGTTTTTAAATATCAGCATTTTTTAGTATATATTTTTGACATGACCCCTTCCCCCCAGGAATGATAGGAGTACCTTTTATTTCAGGTATAGTAGTCTTCCTACACCATAAAAATACTTTCTTTTTTGCTTAACCAAGATTGTTTTTAAAAAATAATGTTGTAGTTGAGAAAATACAGTGTATGAATGCAAGAACATAGGTTTAAAAAAAGCAGTCTCTTAAAGTATTATATTATTATTACTGTAATATTCTCTGGATTTTAGCATATGCCAAAAACCACTTAAGGATAGTGTACGAATTAAATTTTTTAAAAAAATTATAGTCAAAAGTATATATTAAAAAATGCCATTTTAACCAATTTTAAGTATAACTCAGTTGCATTACTTACTTTCACAATGTTGTACAAGCATTGCTACTATTTCCAAAATTTTTTCATCACTCCAAACAGAAACTACTCATTCAGCAGTAACCCTCACCTCTTCTCCTAGTCCTTAATAACATCTAACCTACTTCCTGTCTCTTGAATTTGCCTATATTAGATACAAGTGGAATCATTATATTTGTGTTTTTGTGTCTGGCTTTCACTTAGCATAATGTTTTCAAGGTTTATCCATGTTGTATCATGTGTCAGAATTTCTTTACTTTTTATGGCTGAATAATATTCTTCTGTGTGTGTGTGTATGTGTGTGTGTATGTATGTATCACATTCTGTTTATCCATTTATCTGTTGATGGACATTTGGGTTGTTTTCACTTTTTGGCTACTGTGACTACTACCACAGTAAACATTAGTGTACAAGTATCTGTTTAAGTACCTGTTTTCAGTTCTTTTGAGTATATGCCCGGAAATGGAATTGCTGGGTCATATGATAAATTGTACGTTTAGCTTTTTGAGGAACTGCCATACTGTTTTCCGTAGTGGCTACACCATTATACATTCCCACCAGCATGTATGAGAAAATTCTGATTTCCCACATCTTTGTCAAGCTTTGTTATTTTCTGTTTTTTTTTAAAAAATCATGCCATCTTAGTAGGTGTGAAGTGATGTTTGCAATGTAATCTTAATATGCATTTTTGTCATGAATGAACATGATAATGCTTTTTTATGGTTAAGGACCGTTTGCCTTTCTTTTACTTTGAACTGCCATCTCGTATTTTAACTCCCCAAAGATATTTAGAGATGACATTATGGAGGTAGACTTCATAGGACTTGGTGATTAGCTTAATGTGGAAAATGTAGATGTGATGTGATAGGTCATTGGTTTTGATTTGCATTTCCCTATTGACTAGTAATGTTGAGCCTATTTTCATGTGTTTATTGGCTATTTGTATGTCTTTGGAAAACTGTTCAACTTCCTTGCTCATTTTTAAGTTGGGGTATCTTTTTTTTAAGTTGGGTTATCTTATTAGTAATTTTCATGATAGTAGGACATTAATATTTAAGAATATTAATTTCATTTTATTGATGCAGCAGAATTTTTAAAGCTGCAAAGTACTCAGGTAGCTTAGGTAACTTTAAAAGATAATATATTTGTACTTATTTTTCTGAAATAAGGGATTTTTGTAATTTTTTTTTAAAGATTTTATTTATTTATTTGACAGAGAGTGAGACAGCGAGAGAGGGAACACAAGCAGGGGGAGTGGGAGAGGGAAAAGCAGGCCTCCCGCCGAGCGGGGAGTCCGATGCGGGGCTTGATCCCAGGACTCTGGGATCATGACCTGAGCTGAAGGCAGATGCTTAATGACTGAGCCACCCAGGCGCCCCGGGATTTTTATAATGTTAATGAGATTTAGCAACTAAAGTTACCAGCCATTTCCCTTAAAATTTACTAAGTTTACTATTTTGGCTGGTACTTCTAATAATACTGTATTTTGTGTGACAGATGTTCTTAAACTTTGTGTTTATAGTTAACATTAATTATATACTTTTTTAAACTTGTTTGTCAGTTGCAATTAGCATTAGTTTATATGTTGTGAACTCTCAAATATCATGAACAAATGGATGTTTAGTTTTCTTTATATAAAAGAAATACTGGGCCAGGCAGTATAATGAGACTTTGGAAGCTCCATGTAATCATTTGGAACCTAGGATCCTTTTGTCTTCTCCATCATCTGTAGCCTGTGGCTTCCAATATTCATGGTCACATTAGCCTCCAAGTTAAGCAGCTGGAGTTCCAGTGATCACATCAGTGTTCTAGGCCTGGAAGAAAAAGCAGGAGAGGTGGTGATGAGTTAATATATATTTTTCAGCTGAGCAAGCCCTGTTTGAGAAATTTTTCCCTATCCTAACTAGTTCTATGTAATGATTTATGCTTATATCTCGATAGTTACAAAGGAGGGTGGGAAATTTAGTCTTTTAACTGGACAAATTGCTGTGAAACTAACATTTTTAAACACTTAAGACATTTATGAGAAAGTCTTAATTTATATTATTTCATGATTTGATATTGGCTCAATTAAATCTATGAAATATCCTTAATTATTTTATTAAAATTAATTAAAATTAATTCCTGAATTTTTCTTAGATTATTTGTATTATTAGCTATCTATATATATCATAAACAATTCTAGTCATTTAGTTGCTATGGAGACCTATAGTGTCAGGGAAGGAATACCTTAGTGTAGCAGTACAGAAGATGAGGGTACTCATAGGTAAATGTGTAGGAGGTTAAATAGTGTACACAAAACATGTTATTAATGGAGGTAAAAATTGAAGGGATGTCTTTGGAGCAGCGGTTAATGGCTTAGTTTATGACTCTTTCCCTTTTACTAAATATATAGGTAATGCCATAGTATGGAATGCCATTGATGACATATGATTTAGAATGGCTTGGAAATCAAAATGATTATTTTAACATTTCACTGTGGAAATTTTCAAATATGCATAAAAGTAGGCAGGTTACTTATCCATCATTTACCTTTACTTTTACCTATATGTTGTGCTGTTCTTGTTTTACCTGTTAACACCACTCCCTACTTGGAGGGTGGGGTGGCAGGAATATTTTAAGGCAAATTCAAAATATTATGTAATTTCATCCATAAATTTTTAATTATGTCTCTCTTATAGAGAGGTATCCCCTTTTTTGAAAACAAATCATGCAGTCACATTATTACATCAGTGATATCAACAATAATTCCGGGGAGGGGGGAAAGATGGCGGAGGAGTAGGGGACCCTATTTCAGCTGGTCCCCGGAATTGAGCTGGATATCTACCAGACCACTCTGAGCACCCATGAAACCAACCTGAGATGTAAGAAGATCTGGATCTCTACAATCAGAATAAGGCAGGCAGTTGGTTTTGAGGTACAAAGCGGGGAGCTGTGATTCTGCGGGCAGATATCGGAGGATAAACGGCAGTGGGAGGGTGCCTGGCCGTGGGGATCCTACACCGCCGGTGAGCGACAGCCTCGTGCACTGGGGACGGGCACAGACTCGCAGACTGGTAGCAGCAGGGAAAGGACTCTAGGGCAGTCCCCGGGGCAGGAACCCAGAGTGGCGGGGTCGCGCACACGCGAACTGGGAGCGGCTGGCAGTTTTAGAAGCACAAAGGGCAGAGACGTGCTCTGAGCTGGAGGTAGGACTGGGAGTGCTGCGGAGGGGTGCACAACCCAGGCCGCTGCAGTTTATAGCAGCACAGACAGAAATGGAGACGGTGTGGCCTGGAGAGCTCACCAAAGAACAGATGGCGATCTCTCTGCTCTGAGACAGAGGGTTGGAAACAGTCTCTTCTGCTCTGACTCGCGGAAGAGACGTGGAAAGCTGCCAGAGAACAAAAGCCCCCAAAACTGATTCCCGCTGGGCCCATCCCCCGACACAGGGGGGCAGGGCAACTCTGCACAACAGGGTTGCCTGAGTAACAGCACGGCAGGCCCCTCCTGCAGAAGACAGGCTGGGAAAACAAGGGGCCAGCAACCCTAAGGTCCCAAAAAAACAGGTGCATCTTGCTTGGGTTCTGGTCAATAATTTGGACTCTATACATTCCTTCAAACACCCATCAACAGAATGACTAGGAGGAGGAGCCCCCAAAATAGAAAAGACTCAGAGATTATGACTTATGCTGCAGATTTACAAATGAATGCAGATATAACCAAGATGTCGGAGATGGAATTCAGACTAGCAATTGTGAAGACAATGGCTAGAATGGAGAAATCAATTAATGGCAACATAGAGTCTCTAAGGGCAGAAATGAAAGCTGAATTGGCAGAACTTAAAAATGCTATCAATGAGATCCAATCCAATTAGATAATCTAACAGCTAGGGTAACTGAGGCAGAAGAACGAATAAGCGACCTGGAAGACAATATAATAGATAAAAAGGGAAAAGAGGAGGCCAGGGAAAAACAACTCAGAATCCATGAAAATAGAATCAGAGAAATAAGTTACACCATGAAGTGTTCCAATGTCAGAATAATTGGAATCCCGGAGGGAGTGCAGAGAGAGAGAGGACTAGAAGATGTATTTGGGCAAATCGTAGCTGAGAACTTCCCTAATCTGGTGAATGAAACAAACATTCGTGTCCTAAAGGCAGAGAGGACCCCTCCCAAGATCAAGGAAAACAGGCCAACATCCCGGCATGTAATAGTAAAACTTGCAAATCGTAGAACCAAGGAAACCATCTTAAGGGCAGTTAGGGGGAAGAGATTCCTTACGTACAGAGGGAGGAACATCAGAATAACGTCAGACCTATCCACAGAGACCTGGCAAGCCAGAAAGGGCTGGCAAGACATAATCAGTGTACTAAATGAGAAGAACATGCAGCCAAGAATACTTTATCCGTCAAGGCTTTCATTT